ACTATGGACAGAGGAATGCCATGGAGTTTGACTATCTCCTTACAAAATACTTCAGCAATACTCCTAGCTGTATATGGATGTCGCAGAGGGATAAAATGAGAGTACTTTGACAGTCTGTCCACCACCACTAAAATAGCTTCGAAACCTTTTGACTTTGGCAACCCGGTGATGAAGTCAATCGATAAATCATCCCATATCTGATGAGGAATGGGTAGAGGTTGTAACAAGCCTCCTGGAGATGAAGCCATGTACTTCTGTCTTTGGCAAATGTCGCATCTTCTTACAAAGTCTTGTACGATTCCTTTCATGCCTATCCAATACACATTAGCCGCAATTCTTCTATAAGTTTTGTAGAACCCCGAATGTCCTCCTTGGGGTGTTGAGTGGAATTCCTCTAACAATGTAGGAATTAGCAAAGAATTGTTGGAAATCACCAACCTACCTTCATACATTAAGACACCTTGCTTGTACTCATACCCAGGCCATGTTTCTGCATTTTGTTGAACCTCTTCTATTATTTTCTGCAACCTTTCATCCTGTTGGTTTTCTGTTTTAACCTGTTCCATATGCAGCCATCTCCATTGGTAATTCATGGTAGCTAACTCCCCTCCCTCATGAATTCTGGACAAAGCATCGGCTCCCTTGTTCAATTTACCCTGTTTGTACACAATCTCAAAATCATAACCCAATAATTTAGCAGTCCAGTTCTGCTGCTCTGCAGTTACAATTCTCTGTTGCAGTAGTTGTTTGAGGCTTTTTTGATCAGTTGATACTACAAATTTTCTCCCCAGCAAGTATGGTCTCCAATGCTGGATTGCTAAAACTACTGCCATCAATTCTTTTTCATAGGCCGATTTTGCTAAATTCTTCACCCCAAGGGCCTTGCTGTAGTATGCTACTGGTTTCTTATCTTGAATCAATATCGCCCCTATTCCTCCTCCTGAAGCATCACACTCAATCATAAAACTCTTTGAAAAATCTGGTAAAGCTAGCACAGGTGCTGATGTAAGCCTCCACTTCAACTCATCAAAGGCTTGCTGAGCTTCCACTCCCCATTTGAAACTGTCCTTCTTGGTCAGCTCAGTTAATGGTCTAGCAATTTTCCCATAATCCTTTATAAACTTCCTGTAATAACCTGTAAGTCCTAAGAATCCTCTCACCCCTTTTACATTCTTAGGTTGTGGCCATTGAGTCACACTTGCCACTTTTCCAGGATCTACGGCTACACCGTGCTCAGTAATCATGTGCCCCAAATACTCCACACTTTGTTGGGCAAAAAAACACTTTTTCTTGTTAGCCACTAGGCTGTGATTAGCTAACAAACTCAACACTTCTTCTAAATGTTTCAAATGAGTCTCCCAGCTCTTGCTATAGATAAGTATGTCATCAAAGAAGACCAACACATGCTTCCTTAACAGAGGGCGAAACACATCATTCATTAGGCTTTGGAACGTTGACGGCGCATTCATGAGTCCGAACGGCATCACAAGGAACTCATAATGCCCTTCATGTGTTCTGAAAGCTGTTTTGTACACATCAGATTCCTTCACCCTCACTTGGTGGTACCCCGATTTCAAATCTAACTTCGAAAAGAACGTAGCTCCATGCAACTCATCCAATAACTCTTCGATCACCGGTATAGGAAATTTGTCAGGTACCGTGATCTTATTTAGAGCGCGATAATCAATGCACATTCGCCATGTGCAGTCCTTCTTCTTCACCAAAATCACCGGACTTGAGAACGAACTCGTACTGTGGCGAATGATCCCCGTGTCCAACATCTCCTTCACCTGCTTCTCAATTTCATTCTTGTGATGGTGGGGATAACGATACGGCCTCACGTTTACGGCTCCTTGTCCTTCCACAAGGTTGATCGCATGCTCCTTGTTCCTTGTCGGCGGAAGGCCTAGCACGGTTTGGAACACTTGATCATATTTGTGTAATAATGCTTCTAACTCCCTTTGTTGTTGGACAGGCAACGGACCTTTTTCAGCCTCTTTGGGTTTTGTTTTCTCTACTATCCACAATAAATCTTGCATATTGGGCCTGGGCTTGCTGAGAACAGTTTGCAAAGCTACTGTAGGCTTCCTGCACCCCTCCTGTCCTTTAAGAGTCACCCATTTCTTCTCACTCCAAAAACTCATAGTTTGTTTATTCCAATTAATAATAGTATCCCCCAATGTTTTAAGCCACTCAATGCCTAAAACCACATCAATTCCTCCTAATTCAAATAAATGCATTTCTGGGTCTAATTTGAATTCATCAATACACACTTCCATTCCCTTACACACCCCCTGTGTTGCTATTTGTAACCCATTCCCCAATTTGACCGTCATTTGAGGGGTAGTGTCAATTGGCCAGTCCATTTGATGCACTAATTTTTGAGAAATGAAATTATGTGTTGCCCCACTATCCACCAAAATCAATACCTCTACTCCTTGTATTGTTCCTTGGAATTTCATAGTATGATGAGTCTTATGTGCAATGTGATGCAAGTTAAGTACACTCATCTCCCCCTTCTCCTCTTCATCACTTTCATCCACCTCTATAGCCAAGAATTTGGTCTCATCCACATCATCTCCACCCTCTTCCACAACCAAAACTCTTAGTTGTTTTTCTGGGCACTGGTGCATAGGATGGAATGGGCCTCCACACTTAAAACATAAGCCCTTTTGCTTCCTTTCCATCAATTCATTGTAAGACAAATGTTTGAAACCCCTATCACGAGGCCCAGTGTGTTTCTTTTCATTTTGGGCCTGTTTGTCTCCTTTGAGCCCACTTACTCCACTCTTGACACCCCCATGTGGCCCAACATCTCTCCCCCTTATCATGACCCAATCAGATGCAGCTTTCCTTCCTGATGACCCATTATGAGATGGGTTATAACCAGCTCTAGACCCACGATGAAAGCCTGACCCGTTTCCCCCTTTCACCTCTCTCTCCACAGCTCTTGTGACTTGGAGCAATTTTGTTCTGCTCATTTCCCCCATTGCCACCAAGCTACGTACCTTTCCCCTAATCTCTGCCTTCAACCCATGTAAGAAATACCCACGAAATTGTTTCTCCGGTAGCTTCGGTATCTGTGCCGTTAGGTATTCAAACTCTGTGATATATTCCTCAACCGTTCCCTCTTGCTTCAATTCCGTCAACTGTTCATAAACATCACCCTCCCCGTGTCCTCCATACCTCTCCAACAAAGCCTCCTTCAACGATTCCCAGGTCAACCCTTCTTCCTCTCCGAGCAAAGAGTTAAAAAAATGAATCGTTGCTCCCTCCATACACAGTTGAGCTAAACTCACTTTCATCTCTGGTATCGTGTCCTGGACGCGGAAATACACTTCTGCCCGTGAGATCCATCCCGCCGGATCTTCTCCGGTAAACGACGGCAGTTCTACCTTCTTCACGGATTGGCGATACTCTGTCAACGCCTCTCCATGACGGTTGTTGACAACCGTACTCTTTGGACCTTTGCCGGACACGCTCGCATCTCCTTCGTCTACGGTCAACGACTTACCCAAGCATTTCTCTAACATTGCTATCAGATTAGCATGGTTTGTCGTTACTGAGTTCTGCATCTCGACGAGAGTTGAACGCACCTCTGTGATCTCACTCTCTAACGCTTCGACCCTGGCTTCCATCTTTGCGAACACCGTTAACGTCACCTTTTTTGGTGGCATTCACTGGCTCCTTCGTCGGAATCCGGCAGGTCGGACCACTTGATACGAACTAAAACACAGAATTGTAGTAATATAACAGTACAAGCAGAAAACAGAGGAAAAGAGAGCTTTATTATAGTGAATATGAATGGGAAACAGTTACAGAAAAGGGAATGTAACCCTAGATCTGACAAGAGCTAGGCTCCTAATAGGAAGCTATAGCTCCCTATTCATGCTAGTAAATCACTATAATCCAAGGTAAGATCTACATTCTCCCTCTGATCCCTTATATCGTGGAAATGGATTGCAAAGTGCTCTCCTCACTCAAGCCACGTCACAATATTATAACTAACTAGCCACCAATTCCCTTCTTACCCTTCCTTCTAGAATACACTTTCCACTCTTGGGGTCCACTTGATTCCTTGTAAATCAGCCGCTCACGTGGCAATTCTTTCTCAACTAACTGAGTCCTATCAGTATACTAGCAATAATGAGTGATAATTGTTGTTCTTGGTTCTTGAATGGCTGTTAAAAGAGCTGTACTTGGTTCATGTGTTGGAGTTGAACATTTGTTTTATACTCCCCATGAATATTCTCATGTTAATCAAAGCATAAGGTTGATGTAACACAAGTTTTGCTCATATTGTGTCATTTTCTTTTATATTGATAGGATAAAACGAGATACACAACCCGGATTGTTGAGAGCAAAGGATGGATCAAAGAAGCTCATGGATTTGGGTTTAGAATTCATTCCAATGGAGCAAATTATCAAGGATGCTGTAGAGAGTTTGAAGAACAAAGGATCCATTTCTTGAATCATGTTACTTTATGTGTGGAACCCTATGTACGAGTAGTTATGCTATCAGTTGAGTTTTTGTATAATCTGTTTTCAATGCTTGTATGCATCAAATAAAGTAAATAGAGAGAAATATGGACTTGCAAATAGCATGCCCTCCCCCATCATCAATACTCGCTCAACATTTCATCAAAAATTGCTTTGAAAATGGTCCAATGAGGAGCTGACACATGTCACTCCTTTTTATTAATAAAAAGGAAAAAACAATGCAACATATACGCATATGTAGCGGTAGAAAGCACAGACATCTCATAGATTCTCTCTCACCTTTTTTTTTCTTCTAAATATTCCTACTTCTCTTTCACCCATTCTCAATAGAACAAAGCAACAACTCAAAACCGACGGCGGCGGAAGGAGCATGGTGGACGGTGCAGGGCACGGTTTCTGAGCTAAAGGGTCTGATGCACGGTGGCTTCGTGGGAGCGGCTCAATGGGCGGTGTTGTCTTTCCGATGGAGGGCGATGTGAAACACGGATTGTTGTTCAGTGATGTGCGTCGTGGTTGTGCGCGAGCGATTTCAGGCGCGATCTCCGTCGCTGTTGGTGTTGCGCCGTGACTATGACCGGAGTTTTAAAGGCGCGGTTGTATTCGATCCATTTTTCGTTTGTTCTTCCTTTTTTGATTTGTTCCTGCAAAAGCAAAACTCTGTACAAGTTGTTATATTAATGAATTTGTTGTTGGATGGCTTGTACTATTGTTAATTTTTGAATCAATGAAGAAGGTGTAATTATTGATTTTCAGTGAGATTTTTTAGTTCGAAAATCTCACGGATTTGGCTTTGTGAATGAACTCATAAATTATTGCAGCAAGGTTTGAACGGTGTGAATTTGCAATTTGATCTATTGGTGATATTGGTGAGATGTGTTAGTGTTGAAGATTGATTTTGGAAGTAGTTTTGAATGACACTTGTAAATTATATGGTTAATGAGTTTATGAGAATATGATGATGAAAGTATGGTGAATTTGTGGATTATGCACAATGATTGAGAAGGGTTGAAAGTTGCTATAAGGTTTGAATTTGTGTTAGGATGGAAAATATGTGCAAAAATAGATTTTAGGAGAAATTTGTACGTACGTGTAAATAGGTTTATGAATGGAAGTTGGCCTCCCTAAATTGTTAGAATTTTTATCTATTTATAGATGAGAAATTGAGAAATTAGATTAACTTATAAAATAGTAAAATCAATTTTTTAATAACACAATAAAAAATCAAATCAAATTTTAATTGATTTTGATCTTCTGACTATATTTAAAAAAATTATATCACTAAGATGTGGAAAAAATGCTAAAAATAACTAATTGAATTTAAAACTTCTTTTTTTAGATTTTTTGGCTATAAAATACATAAAATAATAAATTACAATAAAAAACTAATATTTAAAATATTGATTAAAATAAAAAACGAAAATTAACATGAAAAAATATTTTTGGATAAAATAGAAAATAACAATAAAATTATAAATAAAGGAAAAAAATAAATAAAAGAGAATAATGTAAAAGAAAAATGCGAAATTGAGATTCAAACTTAAGACTTCTACACTCATAGTGTCATAGACATGTTCTTTTGCCAATTGTTTCATCTCTTTTATTTGAAGTAAAATGGCGTAAGAAAACATGTGAAGGTAAAGTGTTCGGACAAAATTGGGGTATGACATACATAACACCAAAAATTTGTAACAATAGAAGTCTGTAGTTGTTGGTTTTGTACGTTGAATCAATTATGAGCACGATGGAAAATGTATTGAACAATTAAATGGAATCACGATGAGTCCAATAAATATCTCTTACTGTTACCCCATCCTCACATCTTCGGTGCCTACAAACATAATTGTTTTCATCTAAAAGTTTCAAGAGGTGTTGCATTTGGGTTCGATCCCCCCTAAACGCCAATTTAGATAAATAGCGCCTATTGTACACTTGCTTGATATTTGATGTATTTCTGGGTCTTTTGCGCTTCAAGATTGCATGTATGTTTTTGGGCGGTACCAAATTCAATGTCATGTCGGAAACACATGTCTTCTCATCTCCGGAAGGAGCCGACGTGCAATTGGTTGACCGGTTAACCTTAGACTTAAATCATGATTGTGTAAACCACATATCACATTAAATCTCTATTTATTTCTTGTTTGCCAACAGATAACCACACAACTTAAATGGACATTCACGTTTCTTTGAACCGGTGTCGTCGTGTTTCGAATTCTGGGTCCGATGCATATATTTCCCACTTCTTTCACATGTCAAAGTCATAAATGCACATCTTCTATTTGTACCATTATCAGGCCTTCCAATCACAACACCAAACCCAGTTTGGTGGTCTCTGTACGAATCCACTACAACATGTCTTCACATAATTCAAACTCCTCTTCAATTTCAAAATGATCATGAATATCTACCGCCTTAGTTACGAGAGGAGATACGAGAGGTGAAACAAGTTGAAACACATTAGGTTTGAGAATGTTATCTGGATGTAACATACCTAATGTGAAAAAATTAAACTAATTAACACACATTTGTTGGAAAATTAAGCACATCCAGGAATCAGAAATACATTTCTGATTTAGTTCAACTACTAACCAGAAATACAATTCCGATATTAGCATAACCTTTTTCAAGAAAAAAATCAGATTAATGTGAAAAATGAGGATTGAAATGGATAAATTTTACTTTAAACTCCACTTTTTTGAGTTCCTTTTGATATAATGAACCACAAGAATGAAGATTTGGAGTGAAAAATGGATTGAGAATGAAAGGGTTTTTGAAAGGATTTACGGAAAGATGAAGAAATGAGGATGATCATCCTTCAACATGCTGGTTAATATTTTAATTAATTTGCATTTTTCATAATATTTCCGGTAATATATAAAATGGACAAGGTGATACAAAATTCAATTTTTCCGTTGTACAAACCGGAAATAGAATACCAGTTGCAACCGAAATTATAATTCCAATTCTATTTTTGTCTTTTAAATAGAATGGAGCCACATTTAAATTGTTTGTATATGATGTATGATGCGTACCAGAAATATATTTTCGATTTCAAAAAACATTTTAAAAAATGTATAAAAAATTTCTTTTAACTATAAGGTGGAAAGAGAAATTTTAAATTCTCTTATATCTATTTTTCTTTCTCTAATGAATTTCAATATCCATAAAGCTCTTAATAAAAACTTATATATCTGTTTGTAAGAATCACTTCACTCTCGAAATTTGATGATACATATATCTTCTACCCATTTTCCATTTATGAACAATTTAACTACTATTAGAAACTTGATCCAAGAAAAGTGAAATTTTCAAAACTGATACACCAGTAAAAAAAATATTTAAAATTGAATTATAGACCCGTTTGTTTGAAATTTAAAAATAAAAAAAATTTTATAGTGTTATATAATTTTGTGTATAAAAAATTTATAAAGAAGTTTTTCATAAAAATTTCAAACGAAAATTCGGTTTAAATAGTTATTTTTAAAATATTATTTTAAGTATTTTATCTTTTTATTAAAAAAAAAATTTAATATCAAAGTTTCAAAAAATCTTTTAATTTTGAAGATATTTCAAATAGATTTTCATAAAAATCATTTTTAAAATATAACTTTTTGAAAAAATTACGATTTTTACTATATTTTGGTCTTCAATAATGTATGTTTATGTTATAAAATGTCAAATTAGTATTTCAATTTAAAAAAATAAATATAAAAAAATTTGTAATATTTTAAAAAATAGTTTTATAAAATCTATTTTTAAAAATATGAAAAAAAATCTTTTTTTTTAATTGAAACAAACTAGTCTTATATCCCCGATGGCTGTAAAATCCATCTTTAGAAGAATTGTGACAACATTTTTAATTGATCACACATTGTATTATTTATGATTGTTCACGGTACAGTTTTGTCAGAAAATTAAACTGAACCGAATCAAACTATTATATATATTTATTCAAATCAAACTAAATCGATTCAATTTTTTTAGAATCAAACTGAATCAAAAGTTTTAGTTTTATATAACGATTTGAAATTCCGAACCGTATCAAACCATTATAAGTCAATTTATTATAAATTAAACTGTTATATTTGATTTTGATTTTTTTTTTAATAAAAAAGCTATTTAAATTTATCTTTTTGATTTTCAAAAAAGTTGATTTTTTATATTTTTGGAAAAATCAAATTTTGAATTTTTAAAAAAATTTACTTTTTGATTTTAGAAAAAATAGGGATTTTTATTTTCGAAAAAAAATTGACTTTCTTATTTTGGAAAAAATCGATTTCTTTTCTTCAAAAAAACCGACCTTTTGATTTTTTAAAATATCGACTTTTTGATTTTTGAAAAAATCGACCTTTGCGATTTTCGAAAAAAATTGACATTTTGATTTCAAAAAAAGCAACTTTTTTTTTTTTTCGAAAAAATGACTTTTTGATTTTCGAAAAAATCTACTTTCTTATTTTTTGAAAAAATCGATTTTTTTTATTTTTGAATTTCAAAAAAAAGCAATTTTTTTTATTTTATAAAAAAAAATCGACTTTTTGATTTTTACAAAAATCGAGTTTTTTTATTGTTGGAAAAACCCACTTTTTGATATTTGAAAAAACCTTTTTTTTTTTTTTCGAAAAAATCAACTTTTTGATTTTCGAAAAAAATTGATTTTTTTATTTTCGAAAAAATCTAATTTTTAGATATGAAAAAACCGACTTTTTTATTTTCGAAAAAATCCACTTTTTTTTTTGAAAAAATATACTCTTTGATTCTTGAAAAAACCAATTTTTTGATTTTCAAAAAAATTGAATTTTTGATTTTTTTTTAAAATCGACTTTTTTAATTTTCGAAAAAATCGAGTTTTTAATTTTTGAAAAATTGACTCTTTTTTTTTTTAAAATAAATTTTTGATTTTCGAAAAAACCGTCTTTTTGATATTCGAAAAAAATTGATTTTTTGATTTTTGAAAAAAATTTTAAAAAAATTATTTTCGAAAAAATTGACTTTTCCATTTAAAAGAAAAATGTTTTTTTCTAAAAAAAAAAATCGATTTTTTTATTTAAAAAAATTAAGCTTAAAACTTAGGTAACAATTATTTAATTCCAAATTATTTTAGAATTGATTAATTATTTAATAGTTCAGTTCTAAAACATTAATAAAATATAACTTTAATTCACTAATCATTAATAATAATTTAATTATTTTAATCCTAGTTCAAAACGATTTAACAGTTATTTTGAACAGCCCTGATATCATCCGCCTTTTATATCTACCCTTGTCTTTTAATTGCGACTTTAGCTGCAAGCAACTTAAATATCCAATTCCAGCCTTGTTTAGTGCTTTAACATATTCATCCACATATACATTGATTCATTTGGTTTAGAATCTAGTAATTTTATATAGTTATTAATATGATTCGCGTTTACCAAATTATTTTCTTCTTGTTTTGATAAGATAGATTTGAAATGGAAATATAGTTGTAATGATTGGGATTCTAATTCTTAGACTATGGCGAGGAGAATATAACTTTCTTTGCAAAACTCGTTGATCGCCTTCGAAAATAATAGTTCAAAGATCTTCTATATGAAGTGATGAAATTTCTTAAGATGTTCTCTACTTGTTTAACTTTATTGTGTAAAACATGAGTATGAATTATGATAAATAAATTGTTATATATTAAATTAAGAATAAAATTTATATTAATATTTTATTTTGTAATATTTTTTAAAAT